TCCCACATTAATGCAATCACTCAAAAAATTTTCACCAGAAAGCATTCGCGCTATTGCTCGAAACCCAAATATAGACTTACAATCAATAGGAATCTATTCAAAATCAGATATTCAACATCACATTAGAACACAACAATTCCAAGAATTATTAACACAAATGGACACTATACAAAGACAATCAATAGACCAAAACTTACGCAAACTTGCAGAAACCGCAGGATTTGCCGATATCTACACGCAAGACTATAGCGGATATTTTAAAGACATTAAAGATTATATATATCTAAACGGCGAAAAATACCGTCCCCAAGATATATCACCAATTAACATTTTTAGCTTTGTTACACTCAAAAATGAGATCCTAGATTTTCTAGGATGGCCCTACTACATCTTAGAAAAATTGACTATTTTATACGCAATGTTTAACTTTATTGGATTTCTTTTCTCACTCTTAAAAGGAATCTACAATACATGTGCTATACACACACAAGTAAACAGACAAGCAAGCGTAGCACGCATACTCTTTGCAGGATTTTTTGGAATTTTTTCCACATCTATAAACAAAATTCTTCTAGACGCACAAATAAAAGAATATAACACAAAAATAACAACACGACAAAATACATACGACGAAGAACATAACAATGTCGACACACAGCCAACGGCACCACAATTACCACCCCTACCAAATAACCATCCACTATCCCTAGTCCCACGAAATTTTAGAAATTTAGCAATCACACATAATCCAAATTTTAGACTCACCACATCACAAAGTCCCGTCCAACATATAATGACACATCAATCACATGATGATAATACTTATGAACAAATTATTGAACAACCCCATACCACCGCTTTTCAATCTCAAAATAATAATTTTTTTAGCCCACGATGAGCCGCCAACTTGGATCACTCCATCGATCAAATTCCCATCCAACCAACCTTACCTCTTCAATCCCAATAATACCACTTTTTGCTTTTCCGCCACCCGATTTTCCATCTAGCAATGTAACATCAGGCATGAATTCCGACACTAACTCACACATTTCAGTTTTATACTCCATTTCACAGCTAAATAACCCGAATATTGAAACCCCCGATGAATTTGCCGACTCAGAACCATCTCCATCCAATAATTTTCATAACCCTTCTCATTTTTCTCAACCTCCTTTTCAACCCATATTGTCAAATAACCCTGACCCCATCACTCCTACACCCTCTTATGCTTCCCAAGTTACCCCAACCTACTCCTCATACCATTCTGACCAATCATCTCCAGACACCCCCCGAATCTCCCCAGAGCTAGACAATTTTATTACCCTCCAACAACAACCCTACCACCTTAACACCCCGACCATAAACCAAATCTCCTCCACTACAAATTCATCCAATCCCCCTATACCCTCTTCAAATTATACTGAATCATTAGCACCATCATCCACATCAACTGAATCCTCACTCAACACTAATAGAGCTTACCGCACTTTTAAAAGAAAGTTCCCCAACCATCCTTTCCCAGCAAAACCAGGAACAGCCCGTGAATACATCAACCACCCCCAGCATACTAACACTAGAGAATTTTTAGCTATCACTTTACCCTCATTTCCACAATACACCTTAAACACCCCTCATGACGCTAACGAAACACGCAACTTTGTAGACGAATACGTTTTAATGCCCACTCTCTCTTGGACCTCATACTATCATTTCACTAACCCTCTTTGCTTACCTTTAACCAACACTTCCATCGATATAGACCGAAACAAAGACATGCTATATCGACTAACTACACCACTCACCGCTAGACAATTTACTTACGTAGGATATAAAAAATCACTAAAAATACACACTGCACCTAGAGCTAATGAATATACACTAGAATACTACGATCACAACATCATCAGAGCTAACCAAGATCAATTCTTAGACGACGATCGCTTCGCTAACCCACAAATCACCGAGAAATTTTTCATCAAGACACCATATGTATTTACACTAAACATCTTTGACCGAAAGTTTGATCACATTATTTCAGAAGCACTAACAAGCACACAAGCATACGAAAGTTTTAAAGAACGCTTTCAAATCTTTTCACTAACCTTTCATTTCCTTGCACCACACGAAAGAGATTTACACTGCTCACACGATATTATGTTGCGAACTAAACAAACACATACATACAGTTACTATCGTTTCATCCAAAATCACTTTGACCTCCACACACCCTCTAGACAACCACACCATCGCTTTCAATTCATCAATTCAAAATACACGTCACCGTATTTCCTAAATTTCACATATTGTATTAAAGATACTAACCTCCATGGTATTCTCCGTAATTATGACCCCATAACCCAAATGTACATTTTCTGCCCCATCACCAAGACCTTCAACGCCGAAGAATCCCGACCCTTCCTTATCCCGCACGAGTTCCTACAACCTATAGAAATCCCAATTTTAGAATTCATCCACAATACTAAATTTAACCACAAATTATATAACTTAATCCAAAACACACCTTATGAGTTTGCAGTAGGCACTGAAGAACTAACCACTATTAAGGCACTTCAATTGCTTTGGCCACTGCTTCAAACTAAAAATATCATCCGCATCTTAGCTAAACTACTAACAACTTCAGAACTAATTCACGATATCTTCCCCCACGGTTTTTTCCCCGACGACTAACAGGTAAGTATGAATTAAATGAATATTACTAACTAATTAAAATATTAAAAAACTCACCATTCTTTATTCATGTTTTCTTTAGATTTTTAGCCTTCATCTTCGATCATCTGAAAAATTCACAAAAGAAAAATAAAAAATAGCAAACTTCTTCAAAACTGTTTAAGACCCTTTTAACTTTTGCACCAACAATTAAATAAATATAATACCAATGTAGTAAACTAATTTATAAAATTTTCCCCCAAAGCAGTAAATCTACATATGATGAAAATTTGTATCTTAAAATCCCCCCATTACTAGCAGTAAATTTCCAAATTCTATGCAGTAAATTAATAAAATGCAATTGCAGTACTAACCTTTTGATATTTTCATTCATTCGCACAGAAATTCTATCCACACTCGCACAGCTCGCCCACGAAGAATTGTTTAAAATAATGAATTTCAGTTTCAAGTTTTCACACTCAACAACTCTAACATATAATAACAAGTTTCAAACTTTCCTTTAACCCGGTTGGAAAGGAATCATATACTAAACAAAACTAACCAACGCAGCTTACTAAATACCACAAATCATAGAATAACAGCATGACTAAGAAAAGGAAACCAACGGTACCCAAACCGGATTAACCCAGTTTAAAACTGGATAATTTATTCTTTTGAAGACTATTACAAAGTCTTAGAAAGAAATAATAAAACACAAAAAAGTCGAAAGACAAACCCATACCACAAACAATTTGCTTTTTGGAAAAAGTACATAACCAACAAGACATAAGTAAAACCACAACAAACCCAACATAAAACGTTGTCACATAACAGGACCCCTCACAAAAACCGCATGAAATCATACTCCCACACCTGGCCTAACCCACCAGGAAAGGACGTCCTGAGCATGCTCTATAGCCGGCCTAACCCACCGCGCTACATCCACGCTTTGTGACCACACCTTTATTTTTAATAAGAGCTACTCAAGGGTGAGTAACTCTTCAAAATAACCGAACTAAAACAAAAAGCTTTTGTGAAAACAACTAACTAAAATCATTATTAAAAAATACTAAATTAATAAAAGATTTATAAAATGTAAAATTACATGATGCAATATATAGATCAGAATACAACACCAAGGACGAACATCAAAAGACAAGACGACCTCACTACACTCGAGAGAGAATGACCAACTACAATCGATATGCCGCTCACAATCACAACTCAAAGGATTTAGAGTACGACTTGACTTCGCAGAAAAGGACTTCATTGAACTAGACCAATGACCACCTCGATGTTCAAGTATACGTACAGATCCGAGTAACCAGGCATCCCCTCCACGCACAATCTCCACGCCATTCCCAAGCTAGATCAGACACAAAAGAAGTTCTCCACGAAGAACAGAAAAACCTGACATAGCCAACCATTCTGAAATCAGATTTGAGTTTGTTGCGAAGACTTAGTCGTTGTCACAAGAAGAACACAACGTCTTATGTCTCTAACTCCAGCTTCCTGGAACTTCCTTAACAAAAAGGAAACAAAAGAAATATGATGTTCGCCAAACACTAACGTCCATCATCCATCCTTCGAATTGCAGAAGAACTATTATAAAAAAAACTCTGTAAAACCCGGATGGGTGGAACCTGATCTAAACTACATTTTATGATTGGATAAATTAAATGTTTTACCAATGTAAAGTATTTAATATTAACCAATCATGATCCATCTAACTAACAACCCACTTATTTGTAAGTGCTGAAGTTACTTGTAATTTCAGCACCAGAGAGATTTGAATTTAACTTAGAAATTAGTTGGACTCTCCCGAGCACTTCAGCAGCCGCAATAAACCAGTATACCCTAGATCTATTGAGCCTAGCAGAGACTAGTTAAACAACCTGAGACTAGATAGTATAAGAGTAAGATTAGGATCGGTATTAGACTAAGAAGTTGCACGAATCTATCCGGCCGAAAATAAGATAGCGTGACGAGCAGACGGTGTACCCTATCCGAAATTACTCTATGAGTTATACACCCCAGTCATAACTCAAAATTCCTGGTTACAAGAGTACTCTGGTAAGGGTAAAAACCGAAGTCTCCTTTTGATCCTATAAGTCGAGTGCCATTTTTCCATCACCAGCCATCACCATATTCACATTGAAGAGCAATTTTGCTTGAACTCAGTGGTCATTGTTGCGTCACAAAAACTCAGCACACACATAAAATAGAAGCCAAATTCTTCAAAATCATTTATGAGTTTTTCTTGAAAAAAAAACAAGATCTAAATAATTCACTTCGTTCATAAACTTTTTAAAAACTAGATAGTTCAAAACAAAACAGATTCAATCATTGAATTCTAACGGCTAACGTATAAAAAGAACAGATGTATCATCGCTTCAAAAATCAATGACCAAATATTTCATTTGAGTATTATATATGTAAAATTTACAGACTAAATATGTAAATCTCAATAAGATCAAGACGAATATACAAAAACTGTATTAGATTATGCATTAAATTATCTAGTTGTCAGAACTTCAACTCCGACATCTATGTCATTACGAAACAATACGCAGCATATGCAGTTAAAACGCTACTGCTCTGGATTAAACCGTAATGCGTGACAAAATTTGAAACTATTTCGCGAGTGATCATCAAAAAATAAGAATGAGACATGGAAAAAGTTTCGCACACAAGCAAAATCAACTTTCTTTTATCAACCGTTGCATATTTGCGATGAAAACTAATAAGTTTATATTCTCCATTATGAAAACATTTTTATTTCGACTTCCATATAGAAATGGTCAAAGGTCTCAACGCAATTTGAACCACTCGAGGTTTCTCATTTCCATTTTGATTTTAAAATGATTAGAGGTTTTATTTAATAGCTTGTACACGAACTTGTTGCCATAGCCCCGAGAAAAAGAAATCAAGTTCAATTCAATCGAGCATTCATATTAATTTCAGTTCGAATTGTAGATAATAGACAGAACATACGAGGAGTACAATTGTGAGCTAAGGCACTAGTTTTGGTGGCGCCGGAAGTAATAATGAAGTTTGAGCTGATGTTCTATTATGGTTCTGTTGCAGGGAAATTGTCGAGTGGTTCCCATTAATTTCAGAGAGTCTAACTGGAACGACTTGTGACGCCAGAGAAAACGAGGCTGCAGACAGAAGACTGGTTCCATTTAGGTTCGTGATTGGGTTATTCTCACTGGACCCGCCTCCGGTTGACTTCCGTGGACGAGTGACTTTCCTCGACCGCACATTCTCCTCTCCGTTTAAATTCAGTTCTGTGTGGTTTTTGTGGTTGGAGCTTCGCTCGTGCTGTTGTAAATGACACATTTGGACGAACTTCTTGTCACAATACTAAAATGAAAATGATTTTAATTCATTTCACGGGACAAACAAAACTAAATATGGATTTTTTGGCATAGCGTTCTCTTTAAACCTGACTTTAAAGCACGATGTCGTTAGTTATTGCTGTACTTCCTGATTTGAATACTCGCTTTTGATAGAAAAATAATAGGTTCATCGGTAATTCCGACTCCGAAGCATATATGACGACGCCAACTTACCCTGCATTGGTAGGGTCTCTCGCCAGTGTGCTTAGCTCTCATGTGCTGCTTCAAATGACACAGTTGCTTGAAACGACTATCGCACTCATTACACGGGTACGGCTTCTCCCCTGTGTGAACCCTCATATGCTGGTCCAGCTGTGAGTTCTGAGGGAACCCCTTGCCACAATGTGAACAAGCATACTTGCCACTCAACCTGGGCGCGCGTGGAATTTTATTCGAGGGTCTTCCCGGTTTGCGAGGCAGCAGATCACTCTCGGCTATTGTGCTACTTATAGTCGATACTGCTAGGGCATCCTCGCTCTTTATTACAGCGCCTGATGCCATATTTGAAATGGAAGACACGTTCATGCTGTTATTGGTACTGTTGTTGTTCGTATTGCTTAGCTTTTGGATCTGTGTCGGAACCAAAGATTGCGAATTGTTTACCTGGTTAATATGAATTGCATTGTTTTCATTACTGTCTGGCATCACTCCGGTTCCATTGTTAAAAGTGTTTATATTCGGCAGTCTGAGCGAATGAGGCAGCGGCGATGGGGAGGCTGTGGAATCGGCTCTCGGAGATGGCGCATTTACATCGAGCCTTCCGCCGTCCACTCTTAGGAAGCTGAGGTGACCAGGGGGAGGCTGCTGCACCCCGGCCGCCAGTTGATTATAATAGGATACTATCGAATACGTGAGCGCCACTTTGTCCTCTAGCGTCCTGATAACAATCATTATAAGATTTATAAATTGTTAACAACCCCACATCTCCAGATGAGTAGGCAATTCGGGGTTCGTCATAGGTAGTGGACATTAGATACTAGTTATCATAGAGGTTGCCCTTTTCGCTAGATCCCAGGGTTCCAGTGCTCTAAGAAGTTCTTTACACAATTGCACAACTTCCTCCATTTTTAACACAGCCAACTAACAGTTGGAAAATAGTACTGAACGTAGTAAGTAGACAGAAAAAGCACTGACTTTGTTGAAAAAATTTCGAACTCCAAAGAAAAAAATAGATACCCTTTAAGCTACTTGAATTTCTGGAAAAATTCGTGACTGGCGTTTTTCTGATAACATTAACCCAACTTGAGAAAACTGTATCAATAGGTAAAGTTTTTATTCCACTGTAAGTCTAAAAATTTACTTCCATTGCTGAAACTACAAATCGTTCAGGTTTTCTTCTCACCATTTCCACGTTCGTATTTGGAGAGTACTATTTACGTAAGTTTCAGCAGATGAATTTCAATTGAACTCAAAGTTGCATATATATCTAAGTGCATTGATAAATACAATAACATGTATGAATGCACATCTGTAGTTATTAGAGCATTTTAGACTTTTTCCTGAAAAAAAAAATCACCAAGACCTATATAAGAGTCTTCACTACGTTCATTACTCTTAATAAAACATCAGAATATAATTTTTCAAATAAAACTTAGGTCAAAATTAATGTCAAGCCGAATATTACTAGATAAAAAAAATCAACAAAGTTCAAGACTTATGTCCTTATGACAAGTTTTGCAGAAAAACTAGAAATGTTTGATGTCACGATTGCCTTAGTTCTTCTAAAACTACTGCTAAATTATGTTCGGATATCCGGCTCCGGTCTGTTCAAACATATGGTTAGAATTTATAATTCTTTTTTTTAACGAAAAAACATGTTAATTGGTGAAGAGATGGATGCTTACTTGTCAACTAGGGAGTCAATATTTTTAGGCGGCAGATAGAATTTGAGAAATCTGTCAAAGTTCACTTCCTCCCCACTCTGAAGCATCAGGCACATTTCCCGAGTGGGTCCACTCTTTAACACTATAGTTCCACTAGAAGATGCAGGAGGTACTCTTGTTGGCTGTTCTTCTTTGTTACAGCCCACAGCTGCGTTCGCTGAAATATTCACCCTTGTTAATCGGGCTTAAAACTTCTTACTTAACTTGGGAGCTGACATATTTTTGGGTTTAAATATTAATTTCGGATGCTTTAGTACAATAGCCGTATCAGTAGCGGGTTGGAATGGGATGTCTCCCTTATGTAATGTTGTTCCTGTTATTTTTTGTTGTGGATCCCGTCACAGTTTGGGAGGGCATACATAAATGCCCAGTGCGGCGAACATAGTCCAGGATTTAGGTCGGCTTTTCCTGTAGGACATTGTATGTACCTTATGTAATATTTTAGGACATCAATTTTTTGTCGTTTTTGTTCGACCATTCTAAAAACGTTTCTTGGCAAAAAATGGTCTTCATTTTGTTTTAGGAAGCATTTTGTTTTAGTGAAGCATAGCCAACAGACAGTTGGAAAAGAGTCAAGGAACGCAAGCAAGCAGAAAAAAGAACTGACTTGTTAAAAATATCAATTTTAAAATTTCAAAGAACAAACTAGATGTCTTTAAAGCTCTTTGCATTTTTGTAACAATTTATGATTTTGTTTCAGCTGGGGAATTGGAATAACAAAACCCACTTCCAAAACTACTTCGGTATTGATTAGATACCAGTCAACACATTGCATGATTTGACCATCGGTCGATCATTAGTAGTTGGTGTTAAATTTATAACAAACGTTTTAATTCAGACTTCAGTTTTATAATTTCTTCTTACACTGTACATAACTAACTAGTATATTATGGCGCAGTCAAATGAATCGAATGTGCGTGAAACCCCCTCATTCTGGCTAATCATACCTTGGAGCCACCACATTCTTGGACCCAGTGGAGCGAGCAAATTCAATTGGCGATAATTGCTACAGAGAATCTGGATATCGATAGTCTTAACGGAACAGGAAGTGAGTTGGACACAGATAGAGTAGAGAAGCGAGGAACAAAAACGCTATGAACCTATACGAAGACGCCGATAAAAAGCGGATCAAAGAAAAGAAAAAGTTCAATGGTATGAGACTAGCAGAGGCCGACAACAAGCTACGCTCAAATTTATTGCAAGCACTCGGCAGCGAGTTTAAAAGTGTCATCGCCCAAAAACCCTCGGGTGAAAATTTTAGCCATATCATCTACTGAATTTTGGAATCTGCTAGACGTTGCCTTTAATAAACCTCCTAATACAACTTTCGAGAAGTACAAATTGCTAAACCGCAAACAAAAAGGTTGGGAGTCATTTGAACAATTTTGGGGCACACTGACAGACCTAGCTAGTACATGTAACATCGAGGAGACCAACGAAGCGGAATGGATTAGGGACGTCTACATTTGCAACATGAAGAATACCGAAACCCAACGGAAATTCCTCTCAGCTACAATCAGCCCCTCAGAAGCTCTAAATCAGGCTCTAATCGACTAAAAAGGCTATTTTAACCATCAGAAATTGACGAATATGGCAAGATCTTCGACCAATGGACCGACTACTAAATATTTTTATTTATAGAATCAGAAAAAGGAAGAACCGAGCCTTAATATAGAAAAGAGAAACGCATTTATGAAGAACACTTGAATGTATGTCCAGCGAAGGACATCACGTGTAAAAAGTGTAACAGAGGAAATTTCAGCAAACTTTGTAAATCCCACAAAAAACGACCATCTGCAAATGTTGAAAGCGAGAATCATGTAAATACCGAGAATTGTACATACTTTCCACCGGAGAAATCATGGAGCGACAATCAAGAAATGTGTGGAGTGATAAACGCTTCGAATGAGAACGGACAGATTGACGATGACAATTTTTCGGTGCTGAGCGTTAGAAAGATATACGATGAAAACGGACTCGAAACCAAGAAACTCATGAACATCGTATTGGGATGGGAGATGATTATGAATGTGAATATTCCTGTAGATTCGGCTAGCCATGTTAGTTTTATAAAACAAAAGGTCCTTCACGAACTTAAATAAAAAAAATGAAAATTTGGTTAATTTTTCCAACCTGAAAAATTACCCAGTGGAGAAGAGGATCAGGAATCTATACTGGTTTCATAGACGACACGATCAAAATCCTGGGGAAAATTATCATTAGGAGCCAATCCAATGGGTGAATTTGCGAAGAAACGCCGTTTTTCATCACAGGAGGAGATGAACGCAGTAAACTGGGGAGCGACAACCTACCGAAATTAGGGATCGGAGTTAAACAGAAGAAGTGCTACCCGCCAACAATATGTTCAGTCAGCCAACCATCAAGGGAGAAGGAAGTTGAACTAACTTTCTTTTTCATCCGAACAAATTTTTAACAACTTTAAAGAATTATTCATGAGAATTGAGAAAATTCCGAATGACCGCAAGGTAACACATTTTCATTCTCCATTTGAACCAGTTCAGGCAAAAAGAAAAGTGTTTCCGGGCGTAAACGAAGAGCTAAGAAGAATGCAGACCGAAGAAAAATGCGATGAGGACTGTTTTATTAGGCAAATTGTTATAACAAGAAAGAAAGATGACTCGATTAAGTTGGCACTAGACTCTAAATTACTGAGCAATCAGATTTTTAAAAATAAATATCAGATGCCGAACATTCATGAATTAAAAGACAATGTTGCTATCCTACTTTCGGAAACTCCCACTGAGCAGGTCTGATTTAGTAACTTAGACTTGAAAAACGCATACATTCAACTCAAACTGTGTGAAAGTACAAGCAAGCAGTGTAACTTCAGCATTGTGGGCGGTGAAACAACGATCGATTTTTAACCTGCTTCTACGGTTCGATCGACATGCCTAATGAATTTCAACGAGTCATGGACTCAATTTAAAAGATTATACCGTGTACAAATTGCTACACAGACACACTGGTTGCTTCGAAAGGATCTTTAGATGAACATAGAGTAATTGCAAACAGAATTGTGAATCTTAGAAGAGAATAATATGGCGGTGAAACGGTGAAACTGTGCATTCTTTCACAAAGAAAAAAAACGTTAGATTTTAAAATCTCTGGAGATGGAGTGCGACTAATGGTCGGCAAAGCCGACGCTATCAAAAACCTTCCAATCCCCAAAAATATCTCGGAATATTAGCATATTATAGCGCTTAAACTCAAACACGTCCAATTCTCATACGATCATGCAAACCTTTTGAAGAGATACAAATCGGATCTTATATTACTCCACTCCCCTATAATTCCTACAGATCATGACGAAAGACGAGAAGATCATCTGGGAAAACTCCTACAGATCATGACGAAAGACGACAAGATCATCTGGGAATATTTACTTGGAACGGATCATACGACAAAGCTTCCACGCTATCGTTTGCGAACGAGGAAATAAACTTGGACTTCGCAAGACTGTTGCACGTTTTTTGGGGAACGAAAAAATACATCTTCTGCATCGATCGTTTCACAAAATTTCCTTCTGCGAATGTAATCAACAACACCACCTCACTGCTTTATTTCCTTTTTAAACAATTACTGCCATCTTCATGGATTTTCAAGAAAGATTAGAGTCGACCATGGGTCCTGTTTTTTTATCTTACGATGTTAAATCCTTCTGTGAAAATTCAACATCGAAATCATCTATTGTACAGTCGGAGATCATAGATCTAACGAACTTGTAGAAAGACTTGTATATACAGTAAAATCTAAATTATTGGCCATGTCATTCGAATTACCAAAACCTTCCTTCAACTCTTCGATCGAAAAAATCATTTGGAACCTCTGAATTACAAAACAAGCTTCGATAAATTGCACTCCCTTCGAGAAAAAACTTAAGAACTGCAAGCATCAGATGGAAAAACCTGATTTCCTTTGACATATGTTTACATAAAGGAAAGTCTATCTTATCGGACCAACGGTCAAGGAATTGGGAATTACACGAAGACGGCTACATGGACGTTGACATGGAAACCCAGACCGACTCAGAGGACAATCTACCCTTTAACCCTAACCCACTCGGCGATTCCTCGACTGACCTGTCAAGACCCGGTCAAATCGGCAGATCCACGAAGAAATTTGGCTCTGGAAGTAATAAGTAATAATTATAGAAAGTCGGCTAACAGAAAAAACGGGGATCCCGATTTTAACCTTGTGAAGGATAACATCGTCGAATACTCAGACCTACAATTTTGCTTCATAATGGTCACATCTTGCGTCAATTCGATTTACCGTTCAAAGGAAAATTGCTCCCCAGTCCTAAGAAAATCGTATGGAAACCTTCACCCATTGTGCATAATCCAACACTTCCTTCGCGTGTGGCAGGAAAAAGGAAACTCACCACCCATAAAGACCATTGGGAGAGAACACAGCTCAGGCAGTGTACTTCAAAAGCGGACACCGACACGAACCCACGATCCGACTACTGAACTGGTAGTGATACATGAGTCTGCGCATAACACCTCAGGTTCTTCTTCCTATCTAAATCTAAACTCATGGGATGGGATAATCGAGGACTATTTCGATGACGTATCAAATAACCACATGCCTTTTCGTCAGGAAGCCCGGTCAGGACCTAACCATGAAATAAGTATTACAGGTGGCGAATCTACACACCGGATGCCCTCACACTCAGTTAGACCCGCGGAACATCCTCTAGGCGGGGACCTTCTAGAAACTTCGCTCAGAGCTGGCTCGGAAAATAATCCGATCCAACTGGACAGTACTCCGAAGATCCCTCCCGGGTGGAATACCAACCAAGACCGTTTACACCTCATAGAAATGTGGGCCCATCGACAACGTTCTGGAAAAGGAGGACGCAGTCACGGAAGTGATATCGTTAGACGACAAACCACATAACCCTCCGATAGTAAATTTCATAGACAACCTGCAGATTTTTTAACGCCGCTAGTGGACCTCCCTGCGAGACATACTCTGGTTGCTGAAACCACCCTATCTTGGTCTTAGCAAAAATCTACCCCATCAGGACGAGCTAGTCAGACTCCGATTCATACTATCCACGCAAGTTCACCTAGCGGATCCACACCTACACCCCAAGTTCCGCCGGACCTCCCAATTAAAGATATTGAGGATATT